ATGTACCTCGTTTATATCAATAATAAATGAGAATCTTCGCCATGCTTTTAAAATAGTTTTAAACATTATAAAGAGTCAAAAGGCCCATTTTAACTTAATTTCATCACTCAACAACACCCCCTTTGCCATTGTAGTGGGGTGAGAGGCTTCAGCAGATCTTTGCCATGTGGGGCAACTCGGGGCCCCCACCTCATCACAAGCATTGCGAGCAGTCAGGTGTCAAATTTAGATCTAAACATGGGCCATTTAGATGGCCCTGGCCCGGGGCCAGGGCTTTTACAGTGATAGTTTTTGAAGACAGTGTAGTCCTGCACCCATCTAAACAGAGCTGGGAATTTACTTTTTTCTGCGCACATTGCATAGTAAGAAATATAGAAACCAACAATCTGTAGTTTTTTTATAAGCTCATTTTTTTTAAGTGACTCAGCTTAACTTTCCCCAATTTTTAAACCAGAAGCTTTACCCTGGACACAGTATGTGATGACTGGAACAAAGCATTGCTAGAAGAGAGATGCTATCAGGGCTGCAAGGCCCTTCTGATGTTGGCTTGCCCTACTACCTGTTGCTCCTGATCGACATTCGCCTTTTACCGAAAGCCACAGGGATACTTACTTGCAATCTCTCTATCTGCTGCCGAAATGAAAAGGTCCAGGCTCTTTATGAAACTTTTGCTTTCTAATAGGGTATCTGACCCCAGAGAAACAGCCCACTGCTGGTTCCCAGGCTTAGTGGGTCCTATGGGGAGGAATTAGCACCACCTTGGACCCCGCTAGCATGTGTGCCTCCTGCAAGGGAAAAGAGACGGGGAGGGGGGGGGGGGCAGACTGCTATTATCAAAGTCAGAGGGAAGCCAGCCTCGGTGCCTGCACTGTGCTCTGTAGCAAAATGGTTTGACCCAGAGTAGGGGGCTTCTCTGGACAAGCTCACCCAGGTGACAATATAGGGTACCTGGTCTGGGTGGCCATAAGGGTCAGGCTGAAAGACTTTTTTCTTTAACTTGCAAAATAGTATCTAGATTGAACGTCCCGCCCTGTGGCCAGCCCACTTCAAAAGTGGGCCACTCCAGGAAGCAGACCGCTTGCCAGCGTTTCTTTAGGATTTCCACAGCTCGGTCTGCAGCTTTTCTCTAAAGTTAGAGTTAGGGTCAGAGAGGTGGTTACTTACTGCCCCATGGTACCAGATTTAGACTCGAGTACAAACAGATATACAAAAACAAAGACACGACATAAAACCAAAGGCACGAAAAGCCAAAACCAAACTCAAAATCAGAAGCTGCGCAGCACTACAGATGGAGGTGAGTGACAAAAAGCTGTGCCTCCTGGGAACTAGAGGAGTGACCTGGTCACTCCTAGCCCCTTTCAGACACTGGCGCATCCTCCATATTTCAGATTACTGGAGTGTCCTCCAGATACTAGCCCTACATAGGTACATTTTCTCAGAATACCAACGAACGCAAACTACAATAATCACAGAAACAAAGCAGACAGACAGACAAAGACAATAAGAGCGATCAATCTTACCTCCAACTGGGCCTGGAATGGGTCCAGAAGCAACTCATTTCCTGGCCAATGCACCAAAATGTTGGACTAGAAGTCCAATCATCAGGGAGGAGTTGCTCCAGACACCACTCACATGGGCGCAATTGATGCAAAAGCAAGAGGACTTTTATTCTGTCATGACAGGGTCCTTCAGGTTTGGGATATGAAGGACATCGATAGCTGTTACACCCCATCTTTTAAAGTGAAAAGCCACAGACACAAGGGGTGACCTGTAGGTTGTTTTCCAACTTATTGGATTGGCTTATTCAAAGGGTTACTAGCAGTGATTGGTCTATTCCAGGGCAGGAGAATAGCTGCATGGTCAGGTGATAAGGGAGAGCATCTGTGGTCCATCCTGACCTTGGTCCAGTGACTAAATCAATACATCAGGAACTGAGTCAACATCTGTGGGTTGTATTTGCCTCAGTTCCCAAAATGGAGTTACATTTGAAGATTATTCACAAGGACACAGGGGGATGAGCCGTCCAGCATGTGGTTATTCACAAGGACACAGGGGGATAAGCAGTCCAGCGTGTGTGTGTGTGTGTGTGTGTGTGTGTGTGTGTGTGTGTGTGTGTGTGACTGTCCCTTTTCCAAGATAGAGTAAGTGTAAGGTTTTAGAAAAATGTCTTAGGGTTGAGGGGGGCTTACAAATGCATTTAGACTCTTTCAGTACCATGCCCAAGAATATGAGAAGCACTAATTGAGCTACATGAAAGGAAGAGAACAGAAAGTTAGGGTGTAAGAAAGAGCAGTGTATTTTCAACAACTAGCAGGTCACAGAAGAAATAAAACAAAATCAGGTCAGTGAGCAGGGAAACCAGCAAGAAAGGGTGAGGAAGAAATGGAGGGTGCATGGGGGACTTCATCAAAACACAATACATACTGATATGACATTTTCAAACAATTAAGATGTTAAACCCAGGGCCAGGTTGGTGGCCAAAACCTTTAATACAAACAATTGGGAAGCAGAGACAGGAAAAATTTCTATGAGTTCCAGCCCAGCCTGGTCTACATAACCAGCTGCAGGACAGCCAGGGTTCCATAGAGAGAGCCTGTCTTAAAACAATAACAAAGATATTAAACCCATAAAAATGAGAAAAGATAGCAGATGAAAAACCTTGAAAGATCAGAAATTGAAAATTACAAGATAAAGTGGGTGTGACTTTAGGGTGTAGTATGGCTCAGAAGAAGTAGAATACTGAAGGTCCTGCCATCACTCCTAGCATCAAAAGTAAAAGGAAACGAAATGTATGTACTGAGCTCTCTTTTACTTAAACTAGGTTGTCAAACAAATACTAACATGTAGATCTTTGGAAAAGTCCTGAAAGACAAGACCATCACCTTGAAGTTGAGCCCAGAGACTCCACAGAGGCTGTCAAGGCGGAGATTCAAGACGAGGAAGGTATCCCACCAGATTAGCAGTATCTGGTATTTGCTGCCCACAGATAGAGCATGGCTGCAACCTGGCCAATAGCCAAGCACAGAAAGACTCCCACACATATCCTGTTTCTACCCCTATATGGTGAAGAAAGATGCTTAAAAGAAATCCCACACTAACTCAGAATTGAGACTAATAGACAATTATTTATTTAGGTGTAGGCTCACAGATCAGAATTCTCTCCTGGAACGGAGAACAGAAAGAGAATCCCGCAGCCAGAATGAATTTTTTTTCTTTTTTTATTGCTTTAAAAATACTATCAACCAAAATTCCACTTCCTCCGCTCCTCCCACTTTCCTCCTGCTCCCCCCAAACACCCTCTCTCCCACCCACTCCAGTCCTAAGAGAGGGCAAGGATTCCTGCCATGTGGGAAGTCCAAGGCCCTCCCTACTACATCCAGGCTAAGCAAGGTATGCATCCAAAGAGAATAGGATCCCAAAAAGCCAGTACATGAAGTAAAGACAAAGCCCAGTGCCATTGTCATTGGCCCCTCAGTCTGCCCCAACTGTCAAACCACATTCAGAGGGACCAGTTTGATCCCATGCTCCTTCATTCCCAGTCCAGCTGGATTTGATGAGCTCCCATTAGCTCAGGCACAGTCTCAGTGGGTGAACTCCTTGTGGTCCTGACTTCCTTGCTGATATTCTCCCTCCTTCTGCTCTTCAACTGGACCTTGGGAGCTCAGTCCAGTGCTTCGATGTGGGTCTCTGTCTCCATCTGTCACTGGACAAAGGTTATATGGTAATATTCAAGATAGTCATCAGTCTGACTACGGGACAAGGCCAGTTCAGGCACCCTCTCCTTCACTGCCCAGGGTCCTAGCTTGGGTCATCCCGGGACATGGACTCCTGGGAACCCCTCCAGAGCCAAACCTCCAGACGCATGCTTTACATCAGCATAAATAGTATAAGAGGCCACGCCCCAGGGGACGGTTAACTCAACAGCTATTGGCTGAATGATTTCCTACAGCACTGTAGTGGTATCAAAGAGCCATCCCTTTGCCAGTTTATTCACAAGCACAACAGTGACAACTCCATGCACTGCTGCCCACAAGTGCTGCCCACACCTGCAGTCCTGTGCAGTTGACTGCCTCAAGAAGGGTGGCCACACCAACAACCTCATCCCAAGATAGTCAAACAATGCTGGGAACTTATTTGGTCCAAGATCCCCAGAAACAATGAGGATTATTTTTTTTCTTACCTGAAGTGGAAGGACTAAGGAAAGTGATGATAACAGATTGGTCTAGAGACATGGATCAGGGTATAAGAGCCTGCCATCACCTTCAGCCCTGACTCTGATCCACAAGCTCAATGAGAAAACTGCCTTCTGGAGTTGTCCTCTGACGTCCATGTGACACATGTGAGTGTCACACATAAAGAAGAAATAAGTGTAATATATTATTATCACATACATGCAATTTAAAGAAATAAATGTAAATAAATAAACAAGTGTGACTTAAAATTGGAATGGAAAATACACACATCCTAAAAGAACAAAGAGCCAGAGACAGCAGTGCACATTTGGAACCCATAACTGGAGACTGTGAGGAAGAGGATTACAAATTTTATTCCAGACAGACGTACACAGTGAGTCCCTTCTCAGAAACCTTCAAACATTTTGAATATGAAAAGTATTCACATATAACATGTGAAAAGAAATAAAACAAACACACATGTAAATTTGTATTTTTAGGTGTATTATTCATACATGTCTGCTACGTGGTAAGAAATCTGGTCCTGACAAAGATGAGGACAGATGAGACAGACACAGATGGGGTTATTGAAATGTCATCCATCAAATATTGACTGAAGAATCTACTGCCTGACCTAGCCACAGTATTTGGGGAAGTCAGAACCTGCTGCCTGAGGAGGGCAGTTCCCCTTCCTGTGGGGCTGCTCCAGTACGACCCTGTCACGGGGAGTTCCTGCCTCCAGAGGCCACACCCTATGTCTCCTGTAGCTCCAGATAGTCTCTGTTGTTCTGCCAGTGAGCACCGAGGCAGCCCATAGGAGGAGATGCCATGACCTTCACCTTTACAGCCCTGCTCTGTGTGGGTGAGATGTGGAGATGGGGAGGGGATACCATTGGCTAGAAATGATGCTGCCCCACAGCCCAGCACTGGCCCATCAGGAAACCCCAGGGTCTCAGGAGATTGAATGGGGTGGACATGCTCTAGCCTCAGGGACAAACCTCTCACAGGGAACTCTCTTCCAGGACTGACTCTGGGCCTCGGGACCTTAGTGCTGACAGGTGAGTGAGAGTCTACAGATGTCCTGACCTGCAATTCTCATCATCCCCAGGAGCCCTGCCTGGGCAGTGAGGATGGAAACAACACACGTGCACTGGGGGTGATGAGGGCTTGGGAATGGGGTTGCAATCTTAGGATGGCTGTCCTGAGTCCTAGCTGCTCTTTTCTTGCAGGGACCCTTCCTAAGCCTGTCCTCAGGGCACAGCCACACTCTGTGGTCTCCAAGCAGAATAAGGTGACCTTCCTGTGTGAGGGAGCCATAGGAGCCAAAGAGTATAGATTGCACAAAGAGGACTACCTAAATCCATGGCAGAGAGAGATTTCACAGAACCCTAAGAACAAGAATGAATTATCAGTCTCAAAATTAGATCGCCACCACGCAGGGCGATATCGCTGTCAATATGAGACCCTTAATGGATGGTCAGAGTACAGTGACCCCCTGGAGCTGGTGGTGACAGGTGAGAGGACACAGTCTGTTCAGTAAGTATGCCTACCCACCCACAACCGGAAACATAATGAGACTACCAAGGACATTTAACTGATTCTTCCTTCTCTCCTAGGATTCTACAGTAAACCCAGGCTGTCAGCCCAGCCCAGCCCTGAGGTGACTGAAGGAGGGAATGTCACCCTCCAGTGTGATTCACAGCAGGCACATCACTGCTTCATTCTGACTAAGGAAGGACCACAGCAGCTGTCCCGGACACTGAACTCACGGTGTAACATCTATACTGGGCAGCTCCAGGCCCTGTTCTCTGTGGGCCCTGTGACCTCCAGTCAAAGGTGGATATTCAGATGCTACAGCTTTGACCAGAACAGCCCTCAGGTGTGGTCAGAACCTAGTGACCCTTTGGAGCTCCTGGTCTCAGGTGAGGAACCCTAGCCTTTCCCTAGAATGATGTTGAAGTGATATAGGTCCTCAGAGAGGCCTTGGTGTGTGGTGTGTGAGAGGAACCAGGACTCCTGAGTCCATTGACACAGAGCATGGACAACAGTGGTCACAAATACAGAATCCAAGGCAGACAGTGACAGCAAAGCCCAGGAGATCCAGGACAGATGAATCTTCATGGAGCCTTGTGTTACTCTGGATCAGCTCAGGAACCATCATCCACTGGAGCACAGTAAACCCACAGGAGAGAGGGAGGAGCCAGAGTACTCAGGACACCAGGAGAACAGGGCATACAGAATCAACTAAGCAGGGATCATGAGGGCTCACAGAGACTGAAGCAGCCACCACAGAGTCTGCATGGGTCTTCCTTAGGCTCTCTGCACATATACTGTGGTTGTTTAGCTTGGGTTTTTGTTGTTGTTTGCTTGCTTGCTTGTTTATTGGTTTGTTTTGGCATTTCATTGTCCTGGACCTCACACTGTAGGCCAGGCAGGCCTTGAACTTACAAAGATCTGCCTGCATCCACTTTCTGGTGCTGGTGATTAAAGGAATGCACCATCACTGACTGACTAGCTTGGGGATTTTGTTAGACTCATAACAACTAGAGTGAGGAAGTCTCTGACTCTTTTGTCTGCACGTGGGATCTTTTTCCTCATCTGGGTTGTGTTGTCCACCTCCACATGAGGGTGTGTGACTAGTCTTATTGCATGCTGTTAGCCCATGTTGCATTAATATCATGGAGAAGGTGGACTTTTCTGAATTGAAATGGAGCAGTGGATCTGGGGAGAGAGGAGGTGAGGAAGCTGCTGTTGGGGTACATTGTATGACAGAAGAATAAATTAACAAGAAAAGAAGTGCCATCGAAAGTGCTTTTCCCTGTGCCACTGTCAGACAGACTCACCTCCCTCTCTCCTACTTCCTTACAGGGACCCTCCACAAACCCACCATCAAGGCTGAGCCAGGATCTGTGATCACCTCAGGAAGTCCCATGAACATCTGGTGTCAGGGCACCCTGGAGGCAGAAATCTATGTTCTGCATAAACAGGGAAGCCAAAAACCCTGGGGTACACAGACCCCAGAGAAGCCGGAGAACAAGGCCAAGTTCTCTATCCCTTCTGTAACACACCAACATGGGGGACAATATCGCTGTTACTACTACAGTTCGGCTGGCTGGTCAGAGCACAGTGACACCCTGGAACTGGCGGTGACAGGTGAGGCGACAGTCAGGCTCTCAGCCCCATGCTCTGTTCTCAGGAGTATTCCCCTCCCTCAGCATAGCTCTGAAGAACATTGTGGCTGTGTGAGCACATTTAACAATCTGGCGCCTCTGTCCTAGGAATCTACAACATTAAACCCCGCCTGACAGGCCTGCCCAGCCCTGTGGTGGTGTCAGGAGGGAACATGACTCTCCAGTGTGTCTCAAATGGAAAACATGACAAGTTCATTCTCACCAAGGAAGATCAGAAGTTCGTCGACTCCATGGACTCACAATATATACACAGTAAAATGCAGTACCAAGCCTTGTTCTCTATAGATCATGTAACAGCAGATCACAAAGGGACATTCAGATGTTATGGTTACTACAAGCAGACCCCACAGCTGTGGTCAGTACCCAGTGACCCCCTGGAAATACACATCTCTGGTGAGTCACTCCCATCATTGACCAATCGTTTTTGACACCCAATGCCCTCTGCCATGGTAGTGTCCCAATGGATAGTTGCAGATAAAAAGTTAGAAGGGAAGAGCCTGGTTCCTGAGCCAGAGCCCCACCCCTGGGTAGAAGCAGTGATGTGTACAGGGCGGGATGGGAGAGGATAAGTGTTTAGTAAAAACCATCTCCTCAATTACTAGCCTGTCACCTTCCTCTAGGGCTGTCTAAGAAGCCCTCCCTGCTATCTCACCAAGGCCATATCCTGGATCCTGGAAAGAGCCTCACCCTGCAGTGTTGCTCTGACATCAAATATGACAGATTTGTCCTGTACAAACTGGGGGGGAGCTGACTTCATCCAGCAAGACAGCCAGTTGACACAGTCTGGCCTCTCCACGGCCAACTTCACACTGGGCTCTGTGAGCAGCTCTACTGGAGGCCGGTACAGATGCTATGGTGCTCACAACCTCTCCTCTGCGTGGTCAGCCTCCAGTGACCCCCTGGACATCCTGATCTCAGGTGATGAACTTAATAGTTTCCCCTGGGTACCTGACCTCTACTAGGACATAACTTGGGGAATTAAGGAGGTGATGGCTGGAATGAGGGACAGGAATCTGATTTGGGAATAGATGAAAGAAACAGGGGAGGAGGAGAAGGGCTCAGGCAATGAAAAGTAACAGAGTCCTAGGTGTTCATGAAAGATTGAGGTGATTTGTCATCTCAGAGCATTGAAGGCAGCCTCTCATCATCTCTCTCTTCTTTAGGACAGTTTCAGGTCATGCCTTCCCTCTCAGTGAAGCCTAACTCCACGGTTCACTCTGGAGACAATGTGATTTTGTTGTGTAAGACATCATACACAGTGGACACTTTCATTCTGTTTAAAGAGGGAGCAGCGCACCAACCCAAGAGACTAAAACCAAAGTTCCATTTTGGGGAGTTCCAGGCAGAATTCACCATGAGTGCTGTGACCTCTGACCTCTCGGGCACCTACAGGTGCTATGTTTCTGCAGGCTCATCTCTCTACCTGTTGTCATACGCCAGTGCCCCTGTGGAGCTCACTGTCTCAGGTGAAGTGACCCTGAACTGGTTGTGGTGACTTAAGATCCAAACCCTAGTAGTAACCTTGACTTGGGTGAGATCAAAGGGACAATAGGAAAGGTTACTCAGAAAGCACTTTCCCTGCCAAAGAAATGGATGCCAGTAGCAGTTCATCAAATAATGTCCACTCCATCCTCTGTTTCAATCTAGGTTTGGAGTAAACAGCATGAAGCTATTGGGGAGGTTACAGAGCAGATGTAGAACAGTGAGCACAGTCAGGATCCCTGGGTTAGCACCTAATCCTCACCCTCCTGTAATGTCATGACAATTTAGTCCACTCTGAAGTTTCCATTTTAACTGGTGTTTCACAGTGGTGCTGAAGGAAATAATAAGAATAAGAGAGGGAACCCAGCTATGCCAAGGGAAAAAAAAGATTCATTCCAGAATTTCAGTAGTTTATAGCATGAAAATTATGGGTATTTGCATTAAATTAGAATGAAGAACACATTTAAAAAAAAAAAACCTCAGGTCATAAGCCCACATCATACTCTTCTTCTCTTCACAAGCTCATTGGAGACTATCAGGTCATCCTAGAACATGACCAAGTCCAGGACAGTTGAATAAGGAGAATTCAAACTCAAAGCACTGAAAACATAGGGTCCAAGTTCTGTCTGCGGAATGTTGAGGTCCTTGGTGGACATTCAGTTATCTTAAAGACATTTGGTTATCTCGGGGACACTTAGATTTCTCGAGGAAATAATCACTAAACCTTGTAACTTCTTTGTTATAGCCACAGCTTCAGAGAAACAAGATCACACAGTAGAGAATCTCATCAGGATGGGGTTTGCTGTCATGATCCTCATAGTCCTTGGGATTCTGGTTTTTGAGGCCTGGAGCAGCCAGAGACAAAGCCAACATGCTGTTCAGAGGTAACCAGAAGAGAAAGAAGTAAAATTTTCAAAGATCCACAACCTGTGAAAAAAATATAATGATCTTTTCTGTAAAAGTCCAGTTCTTACATTGAGGAGCTGTTATGAGAGAATGTACAGGGAGTAAATGTGTTTTGCATGAAGAGGAAGGTGAATGTTGGGTGAGAAAGGCATGACTCTGGTAGGCCCATGAAGTGAATTGTGTCATGGTCTTTATATCATGATGTCTAGAGTAAACTCTAGAATATTGATACTCTAATAATTGCCATATTTGAGGTCAATGGAAGGGGTACAAGGAGCTAGGATACCACATGAAACCTTCCAGCCCAGATGCTCAAGGGTCCTTTCCACTCAGTGCACAACTGTAGTAATAAGGGCGGCGGGGCTGAGTTCTCAGCACCCCCGGCCACCTGCCCGGCTAGCTTATGCCCAAAATAATTACATGGACACTGTATTCTTTTAAACACTGCTTGGCCCAATCTCTTCTAGGCTAATTCTCACATATTAATTTAGCCCATTTCTAATCATCTGTGTGTAGCACCCCAAGGTGCGCTTACCGGGGAGATTCTAGCCTAGTCCATCCTGGGTCGGAGCTTCATGGCGTGTGTCTGCCCGGGAGCAGGGCATGGCGTCTCTCTCAGGCGTCTGCTCCCTAGAGGAGAGCTGTCAAGTCTCTGACCTCACTTCCTCTTCCTCCCAGCATTTTGTTCTGTTTACTCCTCCCACCTATCCTCTAACCAATAAAATGGGCCAGGGCAGTGCCTTTATTAGCCAATGACCTTCCTCCGTCATTTCCCCTTTTTCGGTTTAAACAAAAAAAAAAGGCTTTAACATAGCAAAATTACATATAACAAAACAGTTATCAAGTAAAAGTTACAATAATCTTTATCATAACTAAGGAAAGCTATAACTATAACTAACTATTCTTAACTCCATCAAAGACTCCAGAAAGATATAATATTACCTAAGTAAACAAGAACTAAGAAACTTCAAACTCTAGAAATGACAAAGACATCTCACTGCCTGGACAGTCACCCAAAGTTCTTTTGTACCGTTGGGGCATCCATCTTCAGCCTTCAGGCCCATGGTATCCAGCAGACATTTCCATAAAGCAGGAAAATTCAAAGTCACTTCAGTCACTATCTGTTGTGTCCTGCAGAATGTCTCGCAGACTCTTTCATGAATCAGGAACCCCGAAAGATCATCTCACCTTAGGCAAGTTCAGTAGTCCCCTCTCTGTGGGTTCTCTGTGTCCAGTTTATGCCATAGTCCAGGCAAGAGCAGTTTCTTGCCCAAATGGCTATCAAACTCCATAAGGTGCCTCTTCGATGCCCATCATACTCTTGAAGTACATTGGTGCTGCCAGGAGCAGAGTGTCTCATTGTCATGAAAAGTCCTCAGTTATTAAAACATTAAATGTCCTATTCTGTAATTTTTGAAAGACATGAAGAATGTCTATCTAAAATATATCTCTATATATCTAGAAAATCTAATTAACATGACTACAAGCTTCACTATTATGATTATCTTTCAACAACCTATATTTCCTAATTATACATTACATTTTAATAATGAACTACACAATCACAATACCTTAATAAAAATCAGAAACACTTATATATATAACAAAATTGACCTTAAGTCTCTATCAATAAAGCAAAATCTATACTAATGTAAATTATTTATATCTATATCATATCCCCCTTAAAATGTAAAAGAACGTTTATAAACCATATTTGGGAATATGGGCGCAGTTTTTTCTCTCCAAACTGCTTCCTGCTGAATGGGGGCGTCGTTAATTAGGTCTTTCACGGTATAACCTGTGTGCTAGTTTCATCTCAATTGGCAGTTGAGCGAAGCAATTTTTTGAAGGCGTGCACAGGAACCATTCAGGAGGACGTGGTCCATCATACCAAATCGGAATAGAAGAAATGAACAGCGTCTCATCCTCTGTGAAAACAAAATAAGAAACTCTTTTCCAAAGTATCATATCCTTAGATCCAAATTCAAGATATTTATGTTGGATTAGTTCAGCAGCATTTATAAACAAATATCTTTTAGCATCTGTTGCTCCTTCCTCAGCATTTAAATAATTTAAAGAGAGCATAATAGCATACAGTATCAAAATTCTCTGTGTATTTTCCATCTTTGTGCAGCTTTGTTTTAACCTCTATTTTGTTTATTTTTACTTAACTCTTTGCTTTTTGAGACAGGTTCTCTGTATCTTTGACCTGAAGTAACTCTGTAGACCAGGCTGTCTTTGAACTCTCAGAGATCCGCCTGTCTCTGCCTCCCAGGCATTGGGATTAAAGGTGTAAGCTACTACACCTTGAACTCACAGAGATCTGTTTGTCTCTGCCTTCTAGGCACTGGGATTAAAGGTGTGTGCTACCACACACAACAACTCTCTTCCTTTTTTTTTGTTACTTTAAGAACTTTAAATTTTAGTCTGCATATATTTTTAACACACTTCAAACCATTTAGAAATTTTCTCTGTCTTTGAATCTCTCTTTACTGTATATCTCTCTTTTTCTGACCACACGAGCCTTTAAATTACTGAGCAATATGGGTAGGATTAAAGGCGTGGCTTTGCCAGCTAGATCCAGTCCATTCCTTAGCTTTCCAGCCTCATGGCTGAGGTACTGGCTGTAGCCAGCAAGCGAGCTTCAGCAGCCTGTGCTTGCAAACCGCACAAACCGCCTGCGTAAAAGAGTCAGAGTTTGTCCTGGCAGGACAGCCCAGAAAGCCGGCATTTTTAAACGGCGCAGCTTTTTTCCTGCTATGGCTGAAAACCGAAAAGCATGCGTTCAGCTTTTCGTCAACACTATTTAAGTGTTTCATGGCAGGACCTCTTAATGAGCTGCAGGCTTTGCAGCTAAAGCTGAGTTAGGAAGCCTCTCTTAGATGAAAGCGCATGCTTGCCTCTAACAAGCAGAGCAGACCCGAGAACACAGCGAGTCTAGTTGCCATCAAACAAATGCTCTATTCAAAAGCTCTGTCTCCCGCAGGAGCCAGACAAAGATCGCAATGGCGGCACAGCCCCAGGAAGTCGCGCTTTAAAATGACACAGCGTTTTTTTTTCTGCTACTGTTGCCGAATCAGGAAATCTCTCTACAGCACGCCACCAACAAACAGCAAAAATCTGTGTTAAACTCTCTCTCCCTTATTTTTAAGTCTTCTCAGGTTTTTTAAGTGGGTTTAGTCCATCACGTGGGGCGCCAACTGTAGTAAGGGCAGCGGAGGGGCTGCGTTTCCAACACCCGAGCCGCCTGCCCGGCTAGCTTATGCCCGAAATAATTACATGGACACTGTATTCTTTTAAACACTGCTTGGCCCAATCTCTTCTAGGCTAATTCTCACATATTAATTTAGCCCATTTCTAATCATCTGTGTGTAGCACCCCAAGGTGCACTTACCGGGGAGATTCTAGCCTAGTCCATCCTGGGTCGGAGCTTCATGGCGTATGTCTGCCCGGGAGCAGGGCATGGAGTCTCTCTCAGGCGTCTGCTCCCTAGAGGAGAGCTGTCAAGTCTCTGACCTCACTTCCTCTTCCTCCCAGCATTTTGTTCTGTTTACTCCTCCCACCTATCCTCTAACCAATAAAATGGGCCAGGGCAGTGCCTTTATTAGCCAATGACCTTCCTCCATCACACAACACTAGTTCACAGAAAGTTATACAAATGATGAAGGGAATAGGTTGCTGATGGAAACATGAGGAGAGTCTATTGTCCCCCTGCTGGGAAACTATAGTGGTTTAGTATTCATGTTTTAAAAATAAAACCTGCCTGAAAGTCAGAATGCAAGACAGCCACCCTAGTCATCGATATAGGTTAGGCAATGGTGGCACACACCTTTAATCCCATCAGCCACACTAATTAGCCATAGGACTGGGTGGTGGTGGTGCACAGCTTTAATCCTAGCACTAGAGAGGAATATAAGATGCGAGGAGACATGTCTCAGCAGTCTCGGTCTGAGGATTCATAGTGGCAGGATCACCCATTAGGTCTGAACTAGTAGTAAGAGCTAGTGCTGGCCACTTTGCTTTTCTGATCTTCAGCTTGATCCCCAATATCTGTCTCTGGGATTTTATTGTTTGTGCTACAGGGAACAAATGGTTGTCAAGACTTCAACCATTACCAATACTTCCTAACACTTCAGACACTTCTGCATGAAGCTGTGGGAGGAAGAATGAGGAATACTATTATGAACCAGAAGAGAAAGAGCTGGATGGATCCAGCAGAAATACCCAATATCTGTGAAATTATAGACCTCCTCCTATACATAAGTCAGCAAACTACATGCTTGGATCATGGAAATAAAGTGACCGTGTCAGGAGTACCAAAATTTGTTTCCATGTATTGTCTCTCAGGAGAATAGTTTCAGGTTCTGAGATCTCCTAGCATCATTAATCAAGAAAATGCCCCCACAGACATGACTACAGTTTAATCTCATCAAAGCATATCCTCAGTTGAGGTTCCCTATTTCCAATTGATTTTAGTCTTCATCAAAATGACAAAAACCAACCAATGCCCTCACTCACCCCAATGTATATGCTCAGAAATAAGAATCCATGTATGAGCCCTCCCATGTTGTTGGACTAGTTTATTCTCACACTAACCCTGAAGGAAAGGTCATTGTCCTCATTGTACCCCAAGTAAGGGGAGGGGGAGATTATTAGCATCTTCAGTTTGAAAGTAAGCAGATGATATTTTGCACCTTACACTGAAGCCAAAAAATTTGATCCCCTGATAATTCGTGCTAAGGGCATTGAGACAGCATCAGCGGTGTCGTGTCAGGAACTCTGATACAGATAGAGAAGAAACAGAAAAACACAGTGAAGAGGTTTGGAAGCAGAGAAGGGAATAGAAAGTGCCTTCCTGTGTCAAAAATGGAGAAGTCAGAGGAATAAGGAAATTGCCGGTTTCAGATCACAAGCTCAGGCAAGGACGGAAGTCAGATCCCTAGTGAGTCACTAGGGCTTGCATAACTGTTTCTGCTATGGATTGCAGAATTATGCAGTGAGAGACCAGAGAGTACTTCATAGGTCAGCCCAGCAGAAATGCATATCTCATGGAGATAGCCCTTGTTTAACAGGAATATTGACATCAGAGATGCACATCACATTAACCTTATCTAGCAAAATGATAAGGTACAAAATCTGAATGTGTTAGCTGTCCTCATTGCAAACTTCTTGTGTGATGAGCTCTTTCCCCCACATAACAATTTGGGGATTCGTTCCACAGCATGGCAGTGTGTTAATTATTTACTGGTCACATATATCAATGGGTGGTCAAAAGATGACATTTTATTTAGTAATATAGCTTTGATAAATAGACTATATACTGGAACATGCTTCATAACTGGATCTATTTGTCACACAAGGTGTATAGACGTTTAAAAGTCTGGTTATCCCCAGCAGCACAGACACTAAGGGCATCATTGAATAAATGGGACCTCCTGAGGCTGAGAAGCTTCTGTAAAGCAAAGGACACTGTCACTAAGACAAAAAGACAACCCACTGACTGGGAGAAGATCTTCACCAACCCTGCAACTGACAAAGGTTTGATCTCCAAAATATATAAAGAACTCAAGAAACTAGACCGTAAAAGGCTAATCAACCCAATTATAAAATGGGGCACTGATCTGAACAGAGAATTCTCAACAGAAGAACTTCAAATGGCCAAAAGACACTTAAGGTCATGCTCAACTTCCTTAGCGATCAGGAAAATGCAAATCAAGACAACTTTAAGATACCACCTTACACCTGTCAGAATGGCTAAAATAAAAAACACCAATGATAGCCTTTGCTGGAGAGGTTGTGGAGAAAGGGGTACACTCACCCATTGCTGGTGGGAATGCAAACTTGTGCAACCACTCTGGAAAGCAGTGTTTCGGTTTCTCAGGAAATTCGGGATCAACCTACCCCTGGATCCAGCAATACCACTCTTGGGAATATACCCAAGAGAGGCCCTATCATACAACAAAAGTATATGCTCAACTATGTTCATGGCAGCATTGTTTGTAATAGCCAGAACCTGGAAACAACCTAGATGCCCTTCAACGGAAGAATGGATGAAGAAAGTATGGAATATATACATATTAGAGTATTACTCAGCAGTAAAAAACAAGGACTTCTTGAATTTTGCATACAAATGGATGGAAATAGAAAACACTATCCTGAGTGAGGTAAGCCAGACCCAAAAAGAGGAACATGGGATGTACTCACTCATATTTGGTTTCTAGCCATAAATAAAGGACATTGAGCCTATAATTCATGTTCCTAGAGAAGCTAAATAAGGTGAATCCAAAGACAAACACATAGGCATCCTCAGGAATATTAACCTTCATCAGGCGATGAAAGGAGACAGAGACAGAGACCCACACGGGAGCACCGGACAGAAATCTCAAGGTCCAAATCAGGAGCAGAAGGAGACGGAGCACGAGCAAGGAACTCAGGACCACGAGGGGTGCACCCACACACTAAGACAATGGGGATGTTCTATTGGGATCTCACCAAGGCCAGCTGGCCTAGGTCTGAAAAAGCATGGGATAAATCCGGACTAGCTGAACATAGCAGACAATGAGGAATACTGAGAATTCAAGAACAATGGCAGTGGGTTTTTGATCCTACTGCACGTACTGGCTTTGTGGGAGCCTAGGCAGTTTGAATGCTCACCTTATGAGACCTGGATAGAGGTGGGCAGTCCTTGAGCTTCCCACAGGTCAGGGAACCCTGATTGCTCTTCGAGCAGATGGGGGGGGGGGACTTGATTGGGGGAGGGGGAGGGAAATGGGAAGCGGTTGTGGGGACGAGGCAGAAATCCTTAATAAATAAATAAATTTAAAAAAAAAAAGTCTGGTTATCCTTTTTCTCAGACTAACTGTATACAATTGGCTCACTTTTCCCTCAGAGGAAGTTTAAGTTAGACTAAAGGCCCATTTGTGAATCCAGCATGGGTTTAAATCATACAGTTATGTACAAGGTCAGAGTCACAGATGTTCAACAAAGCTTACTAAGAAAAAGCATATTGAGACTGCCCCTGAAGAGGTAAGCATCTGGGTTCACAGTTGTAGAGCTCATCTCTCTAAGCCCTAGCCCTGGGAGGCACATCCCATGCCCCACTCCCACCCATCAAGCTCCAGAGTCCCTGAGCTGCCTCCACATGCATACTACCATGCTCCACCACATCTGTGACCAGGGAATCCTTAACCCAGACTGCCCCTGGAGAGGTAAGTGTCTGGGTTCCCAGTTAGAGGGCTCAGCTCTCTAGGCTCTTGTACTGGGAAGAACATTCTGTACCTCTTCCTCACCAACCAAGCTCTGGAGACCCCAGCAGCCTCCACATACTTGCTACCAACTTCTACCGCATTTGTAACTACCTGAGCCTTTGCCCAGACTGCCCCTGGACAAAACCTTGACTCAGACTTCCCTTGGAGAGAACCTCAACCCAAACATCCCTTGGAGAGGATCCCAAGAACCGTACCAACATCCACTAGAGGCAGGGACCTGCCCGCACCCAGAGGAAGACTGACCACCTAAGCCACAGGCCTCACCTTCATGAATCAGAGGCATAGGGAATCCCTGAAAGACAGAGCCCTCCTGCCACCACTGGAGGAAGACATGGGCAGACTGTAATATAAAAATATGGGGGTAAGGGGAGATGGGGAGAGAAAAGGTAGAAGGGATGGAGGGGGGACCTGGGGAAACAGGAGAATTGGGATAAAGGAAAGGTGGATAGGGGAGCACGGAACCACAATTCTTAGTTAAGGGAGCCACTTTAGGGTGGGCAAGAGACTTGACCCTAGAGGGGCTCCCAAGTGCCCAAGATGAGGTTCCCAGTTAGTTCCTTGGGCAGCTGAGGATTGGGAACCTGAAATGACCCTATCCTAGAGCAATACTGACGAATATCTTGCATATCATCATAGAATCTTCATCTGGTGATGGATAGAGATAGAGACAGAGATCCACACAGGAGCACTGGACTGAGCTCCCAAGGTCCCAATGAGGAGCAGAAGGAGGGAGAACATGAGCAAAGAAGTCGGGACCACGAGGCGTGGTCTCCACTGAGACAGTGGAGCTGATCTACTGGGAGCTCACCAAGGCCAGCTGGACTGTGACCGAAAAAGCATGGAATAAAACCGGACTCTCTGAACATGGCGAACAATGAGGGCTGATGAGACACCAAGGACAATGGCACGGGGTTTTGATCCTACTTAATGTGCTGGCTTTGTGGGAGCCTAGCCAGTTTGGATGTTCACCTTCCTAGATATGGACGGAGGGGGGAGGACCTAGGACTTACCACAGGGCAGGGAACCTTGGTCTGCTCTGTGAACTGGAGAGGGAGGGGGAGAGGAGTGGGGGGAGGGGAAGAAGGGTGGGAGGAGGGGGAGAAGGGTGGGAGGAGGGGGAGGGAAATGGGAGGCTGGGAGGAGGTGGAAACTTGTTTTTTGTTTATGTTTTTTTTCTTCTTTTCGCAATAAAAAAAAATTAAAAAAAATACATCTAGCAAAACCAATACAGCACCACCTGAACCTAGTGGCTCTACAACAGGAAGACATGAACATACTAACTAAGAAGAAGCAGAAGAAAGTGAGCTTAAATGTAACTTTATCAAAATGGTAGAGACCCTTAAAAAGAAAATGAAAAAATCCCTTAAAGAAGTAAAAGAAAAGACAAACAAAAATTGGAAGAAATCAATAAATCCCTTCAAGAAATAGGAGAAAATCAAGAAAGAAAAAAGAAACAAAACAATCAAACAAGTAAAGCAAACAGTTCAAGACAGGAAAATTGAAATAGAGATGATAAAGAAAACACAACTGAGGGAATTCTTGATATGGAAAATCTGGGTAAAGAACAGGAACTACATGTGTGAGTATAATGAACAGATTTCAAAAGATGAAAGAGAGAATCTCAGGAGTGGAAGATACAATAGAGGAATTAGATTCATCTGTCAAAGAAAATGTTAAATCCAACAAATCCTTAACACAAAAATCCAGGAAATTTGGGACACTTTGAAAAGACCAATGGTGTAGGAGGAGAATGGTGTAAGAGGTCCTTCTTTCTATGTGTTTCTTGTATTGGTTAATGAATAAAGAAACTGCCTTCGCCTGATAGGCCAGAACTTAGTTGGGTGGAGAAGACAGAATTGAATGCTGGGAGGAAGAAAGGGAGAGGAAGGAAGAGACACCATGAAGCCACCAAAATCTGTCATGCTGAATCTTTCTGGTAAGTCACTGCCATGTGGCAATACATAGATGAATAGAAATGGGATAAACTAAGGTGGAAGAGTATGCCAATAAGATGTTA